ATTTTTTTCTAGAGGCTTGCTCTCCAGTACTATTTTCCCATACGTTTCTTTAGAAAAATATTTTTACATTTGTTGCCATTTTTGGAGTATTTAGACTTGAGACTTTGACATTTTACGAACATAAACCTGCTCTTTCCATTTGCATAATTGGTGTCTTTGATCAAAATTGCGTATGATTTCTAGATAGTTAGATTCATATCCATGTTTGAATAGTTTGTAAAATTCTAATTTTTTGGATTGGTTTCATTGAGATTTCCACGTTTCGAAATAAAATGTTTCCATTTTGTCGTGGCAATCTGTTACATGTATGGTACATTTGGACAAATGAGCATACAGCTATTTCAAAAAATGTTGTCAGGGAAAACGGTGAACAATCGCGATTGTCGAAGGGAGATTGAACGACCAAAACGGACTATGGTTACACTGTTTTGATAAAGAAAATTTCACCTATTGGGCTTTCCACAGACAATCTGAAAGTATAAATCACCTGTTTTTGTCTTTCAACTAGCAAAACCCAAGGCTACTTTCGGTCGTGCAATCGCCGTTCGACCATTGACATTCGCCATTTTGTCTGACAACCTTTTTTGAAATAGCTATCTATATGCCTGAGAATTGGCCATTCCGAAATTCAAAAGGAGACTGGGAAYGAGTGTGAAAATATTACATTCATCGAAAACTGAACCTCACCACATGAAAGACCACACAAAATAAGTGTTCTTGTCAAGTTTGAGCATATTTGGTTGAATACTCACCGAAGAGGATTTTTTTCAAATTTGTAAAAATAAGAAAATGTATGTTTTTTGGGGTCGCTGCTCAAAACCTCCATACGTTCTTTGTAATTTATTTTTTCGAGTTTTAAACGCATGAAAACTCAAATTATTCAATGAATACTCTCAAGAGATCCCGGAGACTGCATTCCACAAATCCTAAAACTCGAATCCTAAAACTCGAATCCTAAAACTCGAATCCTAACTCGAATCCTAACTCGAATCCTGACTCGGAAAATAGGTATCCTCTTTTCAATTACAAAATAATTAAAATGTCTAACTCTAAATCTAACTCTTTGTTAGAATTTTATAGCAGTTCTGATCTTATATCATTTAACAATTCGCAGGCGGTTTTCCATTGTCTGTACTCTTATTGACAATGAAATTGACGTCAAAAATACTCAAAACTCAAGTGGAACCACGAGCGTAAGCGAGAAGCTGATAGTAACCCTCGTTACTATCAGTATTATTCACGTGTTTGGCTTGAGCAACATTGCAGTTCAGTCGACTCTTCCTCGTTCTTTATACTCGTCCATATTCTGTTGCACGATTGCCCTCTCGTCGTAAGACAACCTCTAGCATCGTCTCAGTCCACATATCCTAATCAAGTCATGATGTCCAAAAAATCGCGTTCAGTCAAAACCGAATCTCCTCAAGAAAGATCAACATTGTTTGACCTGAGTTGGCACACCTGGAAGACTTGAACATCAACCAAGGGAACTTCCCAACCTTACCCGCGGCAACATCGAGATCATCACCTACCGTCCGAAACCTGAGTCGACTTTATCTCAGGAACTCGAGCTCGCGAAACTTCAAAAAGAGAAATTGCAGCTCGAGTTAAAAGTCCTGCGACTAAAACAATGCGCCACACCCCCCAATGACTCGAGCACAGACCTGAGAAAGACCCAAGACAAGGCTAAAACTCAAGATCAGACAAAGAAAATGGCCGCAGGAATTTGTCCCCATTCCTGGTTTTAGTAACATCCCGCTAGGCTTTAAGAGGCAGTCTCTGTAAAAGCGGTCCGATGAATTTCGGCTCAGAAATAGTTTTCCCTCAAATTTCTACCATGAATTGCCCTATCATATTAAGTAATGAAAATCGATTTTGTTTTTCAAAATTCGTTAAATTAATTTTTTTTCAGCCTATTTTTACAGGTCCACCGTCTTCGCTAAATTTTCATTTTTTCACGATAGGAAATCGAACATTTTCAGAACAGCATAACTCACAAAATATAGAACGCAGGCCCTAAATATTTTTAGCCATTCTTTTAGATGTATCTGTGCACTAAATAGTAGCAAAATTTTGAATATCAAATATAAGGGAAAAATAATACACTATACGAAGCGAACCCCATTATTCGGCTTTTTGAAATCACGGCGAAGTATACTTTACAAAGTAGCTTTTATCTGCCAAGTCCAACACAGTTTGCTTAAAATTTTTAATGAATTCTACTAACCTAAGGTTGGTTAACAAGAACCCATAAAAACATTTTGCGCTTTTGAGCTATATTCTGTACAGCAGGCACGTAGTTTTCGTGTTTTTCAGTAACTTGCCGTTAAAATATGCAAATTAGGCATCCAAAAAAAATCATGAAACCTCTTTATTTGATCAAATATAAATGCATTATCATTTATTACACTGAATTTAAGCATTGTTATTTTATTTTAAAGCACTTAAATCGGCATTTTTTTCAATCTTCCGTCGGTGACTAGACGGGATGTTTTGATGCATATGTAAATTTCTTGAAGCTCTTGCGTGGGCCGTGGAATAGTTTAATTGGAAAGTCTTGCTCATTTTCTGATACATTAGTAATAACATATAAATTTTAGAAACGCGATTTCATGTTTTTTACCTTACTAAAGTCGAATAACAAAGTAAAAACATGTCATGAAAACTTAATTCTTGGCGTCGAGTTCTTGCGAGTACTTCGCCATTCTATCTTCCAACAATAACTCTCAAACGGCTAGACTATAGAATCATACCAGTCCACACGAATTGTCTTAGTAATCGCTGCTCCCGCAGTCACGTAGTCACACAGTGCCTGCATTGAATTGTGGTCCTGTTATCATTTCGTACACTATCAAACAACTAAGACGGCGGGTNATGAGCATACAGCTATTTCAAAAAATGTTGTCAGGGAAAACGGTGAACAACGATTGTCGAAGGGAGATTGAACGACCAAAACGGACTATGGTTACACTGTTTTGATAAAGAAAATTTCACCTATTGGGTTCACATTACATTGAAATGGAGACTAAATGGAGGTAATGGAGACAATGCTTTCCACAGACAATCTGAAAGTATAAATCACCTGTTATTGTCTTTCAACTAGCAAAACCCAAGGCTACTTTCGGTCGTGCAATCGCCGTTCGACCATTGACATTCGCCATTTTGTCTGACAACCTTTTTTGAAATAGCTATCTATATGCCTGAGAATTGGCCATTCCGAAATTCAAAAGGAGACTGGGAACGAGTGTGAAAATATTACATTCATCGAAAACTGAACCTCACCACATGAAAGACCACACAAAATAAGTGTTCTTGTCAAGTTTGAGCATATTTGGTTGAATACTCACCGAAGAGGATTTTTTTCAAATTTGTAAAAATAAGAAAATGTATGTTTTTTGGGGTCGCTGCTCAAAACCTCCATACGTTCTTTGTAATTTATTTTTTCGAGTTTTAAACGCATGAAAACTCAAATTATTCAATGAATACTCTCAAGAGATCCCGGAGACTGCATTCCACAAATCCTAAAACTCGAATCCTAAAACTCGAATCCTAAAACTCGAATCCTAACTCGAATCCTAACTCGAATCCTGACTCGGAAAATAGGTATCCTCTTTTCAATTACAAAATAATTAAAATGTCTAACTCTAAATCTAACTCTTTGTTAGAATTTTATAGCAGTTCTGATCTTATATCATTTAACAATTCGCAGGCGGTTTTCCATTGTCTGTACTCTTATTGACAATGAAATTGACGTCAAAAATRCTCAAAACTCAAGTGGAACCACGAGCGTAAGCGAGAAGCTGATAGTAACCCTCGTTACTATCAGTATTATTCACGTGTTTGGCTTGAGCAACATTGCAGTTCAGTCGACTCTTCCTCGTTCTTTATACTCGTCCATATTCTGTTGCACGATTGCCCTCTCGTCGTAAGACAACCTCTAGCATCGTCTCAGTCCACATATCCTAATCAAGTCATGATGTCCAAAAAATCGCGTTCAGTCAAAACCGAATCTCCTCAAGAAAGATCAACATTGTTTGACCTGAGTTGGCACACCTGGAAGACTTGAACATCAACCAAGGGAACTTCCCAACCTTACCCGCGGCAACATCGAGATCATCACCTACCGTCCGAAACCTGAGTCGACTTTATCTCAGGAACTCGAGCTCGCGAAACTTCAAAAAGAGAAATNAAATATCTAACTACTGACTGACTATTAAAATCAACCAGCATTTTATTGACTTATATCTAATTTTTTACTATGAATCAAACCAAGAACATTCAATTACCTTTGTGTGCTTCGGTACTGGAAAGTTATCTCCTTATACTCTTTTTTTTATTAATTTGCACGCATGCTGTTCTTCGTGGTCTTTCTTTGCACTGTCAATGTCGGCATAGCTTGAAAACGCAGCACCAATTTGCAGAATATCCTACACACAAAAATAAATACAATAAATACAATAAATACAATATATCAATAGATTACATTTTAAATATTAATTATCAATATCATCATAATAATTTTTTATATAAATCATATATGTATTTTGAAGTGAGCGTACAAATACCTACTTCAGTGAAAAAGAACAAGATCTCCTGATTGTTCACTTTAACTTATTCAGACAAACTCAAACATCGATAAATATATAAATATGTGCAGTACTATACACTTAATGACTGTTCCCAAGGGAAACGGTTAGTTTTGTTTCCCGAGAATCTCCCTTGGCACATTGGTAGTTTATGTGAATAAAAAAACATCCAAAAAATTTGCAAGATCAGAATTGACCGGTCGCGACAAAATAGCAAGATGCCGTTMAGCTCCTGTAATCGTTTAAATTACATTGTGCTTGAAAATCAAAATATACAAATACCAAAAAACAAGCAAAACTTTAAATGTTTCATAATTTCTTAACAGCTATCTTCTGTGTAAAAGAAGTGCATTTTGCTTCAGTCTCAACATACCTGCTTAGMCTTTGAAGCAGCTGTTGATCTCGAATGAAATGAAAGAAGGAAGGAAGGGAAGAAGGAATGAAAAGACGAAGGTAGGAGAAGATCAAAGAAATAAAGAAAGGAGTGAGGAAATTAATTACAAACCAAGAGTCTATTACCTTGTTCGCCAAAGCCATTATCACGTTAGAGAGGTTACTCAAGCTAGTGTTGATATTTTTAGTTTCTTTGAGACGTTTCCCCTCGGCTCCTGACTGACTTATTCTTTCCGATCCCGCAAGGTCTATAAGATTTAAGGTCCCTGCGTAAACAAAAGTAAAAATGAATTTGCTACCTAACGAGCATGCTAGACATAAATGTTATTCCTACCTTGGCATTTCTCGTCTGTGATTGTGTTCTCTCCGCTTATTTTTAAAATAAATAGACTGTGGCTTCTACTGGATCTTTCGTTCCATTTGGTTGCGCCAACAGAGCGATTTTGTGCGGCAGTTTTCAGAAGCGACAAAACCTTTGAAAAAAGAAACTTGCGTCAATCTCTGTTTGTTGTCTTAGACCGTTGGAATTCCCAGATTTATAAAAATCACTGCAAATAGACCTGTTTTTCGTTGTCAACTGGTATAACTTTTAGGTTTGTGACGGTCACTTCAGAGTCTGAGTTTGTCTTTCCGTTTCCCACCATCTTTATCTCGTATTTGAGYGAGTCGTCAGAGGCCAGCAGATCCCGTATGTTCTCGTTATAGATTTCCAAGTATCTTGCTTCCATCTTATACTGAAAAAAGACTTATTAGCAATTCCGGAGTTATGAAATGAATTGTAATTTCTGTCATATTGAGCCAATCGAAAAACTAACCAAATCACTAAAAAGACTTTATCGACTTTAGTGTAGGTTCCAAGTTACAGATCATTTGGACAAATATTCAATTAATGAGAAGCCGTGCAATTTACAGAGAATTTTGATTTTGACCGCGTCCCCCAAAACAATACATTCTCTGTTAATTTGATGAAACTAGGAATAAATACTGTTCAGCTAGTTTTTATCCAAACGTTTTGAAACTTGGTATATTTACCAATTTTTGGTTGTCCTTTCATGTGGTGGGGTTTGTTTCGCGATTAGATCAATATTTCTTTGATTAGTGCCCAGTTCTCTGCGCAACTCCGGATGGGCTAATAGTTTACGCTATCGTAGCTTTTGATACTTCATTTAAACACAAGCATAAAAGTCAAGTAAGCGCCGTTTCACACTGTGACATAAGCAGAAGCAGAAGAATTGTACTTTTTGTATGTGTGAACCTGGAAAACAGAAGCAGAGACAGAAGAAGATGCAATTGAAAACGTTTTTCATTTTCTTCTGCTTCTGTTTCTGTTTATATATGTTGAAAGATTATGAGTGTGAACCGGGACATCATAAGCAGAAGAACATGCTTCTGTCAAGTGTGAACAAGCTTCTGATTCGGTTTCTGCTTATGCCATAGTGTAAACCGGCCCTAAAACCATACGAAGCAAACAAGGCAAGAAATGMAAAGATTTTTTTTCTCCTTGAGCCTAATTTTTCAAATAACAAACAAGTAACAAATTTTAAAAGAAATAATAATTTGCATTACTTTTATTCCCTTTTTTGCTATTTATTCTTACTCACTTCCCATCCTTTCTCTTTCAAATCTTCGGAGGTCATATAAACGTGTTCAATTGATCTTGGTATTATTCCTCGCTTGGTGTGTTCACTCGCATCTCCCTCCATCGTATAGGTCTTCCCACTCCCTAAAGTTCAAAGATTTTTTAAAATTACAATATTTATGTTTGTCATGCGTTTAGCTTATTTCCAACGACGCCATTTTTTTTTGCACGTACCTGTTTGACCATACGCGAATATGCATACCCTGTATCCGTCCAGTGCTGATTGCACAAGTTGCGATACTTCTTCAAAGATGCTTTCTTGATTCATGTTGTGGCTAAAAATTCTGTCAAAGCTAAACTCGTGCGGTACAGTTTTTTTCTTTGCTCCTTTAACGTCCTAGAAGATAATGATGAATAATGATTAGCAAAATTAAAAACACTAAATGAATGAAACAAATATAGAAAGAAAGAATTGGACAACATTGTAGACTTGAAAATGTTTTTTTTTATGGCGTGAAAAATTAAACATACACAACATTTCTAACTAACATTTACCTCAGATGGTATAGATTGCTCAACGTTGACTGTGCGTTGATCGTCACTGATGGAAAATTTTGCCAGCGGGCAGTCTTTTTCATCTATAATTGCCGGCCGAAGTCTGCAGAATACTCGRWKKTKSCCYTTWRKTYYTKKWWTKKWWTWWKRARG